ACCTTTTGGTTTCTGTTTGTATATAAGACGATAGTTTTACTCAAAAGAAATGGTAAAATGCTCATGAAGTGACTCTCTGAGCAGTTCTAGAGATGTTCATGTACTCATATATTGAGGCGGCAGAGGCTGAAAACACCGTAAGGGTCTCGTGCGTGCCTGCGCCATTCATTCACACAGACACACAGAACATACAGGATTCATATTTAAATGGTATTTTTGCTGCTTAATATTTCACAGACATTAGTCCATATCGCATTTTGATTTAAGTATACTGACCTACTTCGTATCCATCGTAATAGTTCTATCACGGTTTCTTCAAGTTAAACCAAACTTTTATTTTGACAGGTTGCTGTGAAGACCTTTTGGTTTCTATTTGTATATAAGACGATAGTTTTACTCAAAAGAAATGGTAAAATGCTCATGAAGTGACTCTCTGAGCAGTTCTAGAGATGTTCATGTACTCGTATATTGAGGCGGCAGAGGCTGAAAACACCGTAAGGGTCTCGTGCGCGCCTGCGCCATTCATTCACACAGACACACAGAACATGCAGGATTCATATTTAAATGGTATTTTTGCTGCTTAATATTTCACAGACATTAGTCCATATCGCATTTTGATTTAAGTATACTGACCTACTTTTGACGTATCCATCCAAAATTTGGAAAATCCGTAACGTTCCACGTTATACAGTAAATTCCATTTTTATGACTGGAGACCATTTTTATGATCCGTCCTCGTTTTCGCCGAAATCATTGGGCCCTAATTGTGTTGTAGTACATTGCTTTATATTTTTCTTTAGTTTGCAATTATGTTTTCATGAAGGCTGCCTGTTCTTTTAGACAAACTTAGGTATACAGAATTAATTCAATAGGAATGAGATTTTCCTGAACAAGAATGACACATCAGGCATAATTACACCTATTAGTGCATTTCATATTAGTGGCTTGTTCATTTTTCTTCTCTGTTTACAGCCGCACAGTCTGCTCAGTGGTACTCGTGGGGTCCTCCTAACATGCAGTGTCGCCTTTGTGTGTCCTGTTGGATGTACTGGAAAAAGTATGGTGGCCTAAAGATGCCAAGCAGAGCTGAGGGGGAAGAGGAAAAAACGCCTCCAAGCCCTGCACCCAGTGTAAGTACTGTTCTGACGGTGTAGATCTGCATTGAGCTATTGGTTTAGCTAATATATAGAACTACATTGAAAAAGTGCTACCATAGTACCAATATCACTTGTAAATAAATGTAAATAATTACATTTTGGCTTTGGGAGGCAAAATTTCAGAGCAAAAACACATTGTGATTGGCGCAAACCATTTATCCTGGTTGCAAATGAACAGAGGTCAGGGAGACATCAGGAGTCGTCTCAAATCTTTAGGAAAACCATGATATTTTCTCTCACTTTTTGCTGTTTTCCCACTGTACATCTTTTTTTGGTTGTATTTCCATTTTTTTCCTGTATCCATCCCTAACTTCCTTCATTGTCTGTCTCTCCACAGGAGATGCGTTCTCGTGGCCATGGCGCCCGTCAGTCTTCCCACATGGTTCCGATAAGGAACAGCGGCAGCCCCAAATCCTCCATGAAGACTAAGCAGGCGTTCCTCCTGCAGGCCACGCGCCTCACCAAGCTGGCGCGTCACATGTGCCGTGATCTCATCAGGCTGCGCCGGGCCGCGCGCCGCCCCTTTGTGCCCATTAACTGTGGTGCCATAAAGGCGGAGTGTAAGAGCTCTTTAAATTCCTAACTTCAGCCTCGTGTGCAAACACACCCACCACCCACACTGTCCCGCCCGTTCTGTTCCCCGACCACACCTGTCCACATCTCGCTGTCATTCCTCCCCTCCATCTTCTGTCTCGTACTGTTTTTATTATTATTATAATTATTGTTATTATATTTTATTTTGGTTTTTGTATTCTCCCCACCCCATTTCCAATAAAGACTGCCTGTCCTCCATATTTTGCGTTTCAATCATCTTTTCAGTTCAAATTCACTTTTCCCCCCACACTTGTTGACTTGGGTTAAGGGTTTTATGATGTTGCTTAAATTGAACATAAGCACATTTTTTTAGCACTTCTCTCAGTTTGTTGAAGAGAGTTTTGTATGCACACATCACAAACACAAAGACTTAATGGATGCCCTACTATGCCTGCTTCATCGTACATTGTAATTTTACTTGAAATGCGTATCATAATCTGAGCCTTATATTTATTAAAAGCTCAATGAGAGACTTGAAAGACTTTGCCTAAAGAAAGCTACATTTTGCACACTGATGTACTAAAATAACTAGGGGTACTGTTTGGCTTAAAGTTACATGTTTTTTTTGTTGTTTTTTTTGCTGTTACTTAAAGTCTCTCCAGATTTGCTCTTAAGAAGGATAAGCTATTTTGGTTTTGCGTTTTTTTTCCCCCTAAACACTTTTATAGTGTTTTAATGCATGTGGCACTACAATTTAAGGGAATGGGATATATTTTTGTGTATTCTAGGTTTATTGTGGGAGGATTTTAGAGCTATAAGAGTTGGATTTGCAGGATTTTAGTGAGTAAATTCAAAAACGTATGCATATTTTACTTGTAAATATTGTACATTTGTGAATAGTCACTCTTAGACTTGTCAGAAAGCCTTTATGGATATTAAGTTCAAGAGTGAATGACGCTAGGTTGTGGTGTTTAGATGTTCTCAGTACAGTTGGTTCAGGCAGAAGGATCTCTTTGATTTTGTGGATCTGGGATCTTTCTTTAAATGTTTAGTTTATTTTCTGAAGATTATACCCACAGCTGCTTTATCAAATCTAAACATAGAACAATTAGTACTAGGAAGTACATACATTCAACATATATGTTTTTACTTTTTGCCTTTTAAATCTTTTTTTATTTACCCATTATAAAATGTGCATTAGGATTTTATTTTTTGACTGAGATCAAATTAATTATTAGGATAACTTGTTACATCAACAGAAAAAAGTACAACAATTCATAATGGTGTGTGCCAAGATTTATAGTTGAAATACTGTCCCTGTCAGGAAAATGTATGGAAATATGTACCTCCGGAGTGTGGATTGTCGGTTAGTGTATGTACGTTAATGCCTCAGCTTAAATTTTTGTCACTTCCACTGAACTGCCTCTAAATACAGACAGTTTCATCACTGGTTGTACCCAAGTGAACACTAATGTCTCTAAGGGAAGAAAGAATATGTCTTATTTTATTGGAGCAGACCGCTATACAAAATATTTTATGTGGAATAGCTAATTGAATTGCTATTACCTGTGCAACCAATCAATCATTCGGTAGCTACCATTGACAGGCTGTTCAGAGTCATGCATGTATGTAACGAGATGATGAAGTGTTGGTTAACAAGAAACTCTTCTATTGTGCTTTTCAGTAATGCAAGAATGATGGACTCAGTCTCATTTTTGGTGCAGTTTAGGATCTAATTAATTAGATGTTCAATAAGTTGGAAAGAGTTATTTACAAAACATTGAGTCATGCAGTTGGAAAAATTCCCTAGTGTGTTTGTTATTCTGATATTCAAAACTGAAGTTTGTTCTCCTAAAGAGTTTGCACACTAGTCTGCAATCTGTCAAAAGGCCAATTTAAAATGCTGGGGAATTTGGTCAATGGCGGTAATTGATCAGGAGGACTTTGTGTCTTGGGAAGTGATACGTTGGCACAGAAAAGAAAAATGGCCCTAGACCAGACCTTTTTAAAGGGATGGTTTTGCGACATTGGCAATAATTTAAGATTTTTGGGGTTCTTAAATGGTTACTGATTTATTATTTGTCATAGAACACCGAGTTGGGATGAAAGAGAAAGATACATCACAAACTAAAAACCCTCATATATGCAACACACTTTTAAACAAGCCCAAAGATGAGGTTACAGATCGTAGTAGCCAGGCTTTGCTCTAAAAGCAGCTGTTTCCTCTTGACAGGCACTTGTAAATAGGTCACTTTTACAGGGAGAGCTCATATCAACAGGGCAAGAGAGCCAATCACCTGCTCTGCGTCTGTCCAATCAGAAGTTTTTCCACTCAGTTTTGCATTGCCCCCCTCCCATCATGCGAAACCTCCATTCTATGCTTCCATTCCACCTCTGTCTTCACCCCAAACACGTCTGTATGTATCCCCAGCCATAAAAAGTTGTTCTGACATCTGTGTCCTGAAGCACGAGGGACCCGGGTGGGGGCAGCATGCTCTTTGGTTTGTCTCTCTCTTTTATTTTTCTTTGTGTGAATGTCTTGTGGGCAACCAAAACACAAATAAAACCATGGCTGAAACCATCCTATCTGAGTCCTTGTAGTTTCATGTGTCTCGTGTACCTGTCCATCACTCTGTTGCACGCACACCGACAGGCCGAGCAGTGCGGCAATCATGTGAAATCTCCGACAGCATGAGCTCCATCGGCTCCTGCCTTGCCTTCATGACTTGTTTACATGCACACACTCATAAGAAGCCGCTGTGAATGCAACATCGCATTTGTTTTCCTCTTTCCAACCTCATTCAACATGCTGGCTAACTAGGTTATGTTCAACACATAGCCTGCCCATCAGAGATTGTGCATGAAAATCATGGAATAATCAGGTTTAGTGCATCGAAATGTGACACAAAAATGACGCAATGAATCACGGGAGTTTAATAAAACACATTTGCAACCATGAGGATTCAAAGGTGAAGAAAACAGCTTGTTACACACATAAAAGTCAGAGAACCGCTATTTCAGCACTTCCCCGAAGGCACAGGTTCATTTTAAAGAATGGATTTTGTTTCGCTAGATAATGCATCACCCAGTTCAGCCATGTTTTTTCTCCACATTCGATATATTGTTGAAAGGGTAATGAATTGAAGTTATATCGGTACATCTTCAAGACAGCTTCTCTCCAGGTTTGCCAAGTCAACAAGAAGAACTGCCTGAAGAGAACGGCTTTAAACAACTTCCGACTCTTCTGGAGTTTTAATGAATTTTAAAACCAACCAACAAAAGTTGGAGTGGTTTTAATGGGTTCACTGTGGTCAGATCAATGTTCCGGAGTTCACCGGGAAGAACTTCATTCACTAGGGCCTAAAGAACGAACCGAGCAGCAAATGAGATTTGACTCTGCTTGCTGCTCCCATAAAAATCGTCCGGTCAGAAAGATTAGTCACCGCAGGGTTGGTGTATCGCCTCAACATCCATCAAGCCGGCCTTTTCGTGTTGGTGTCTAAGTGTGAATGTCTCTTTCTCGCTCTTTGACTTGCTTCTATCTCCGTTTGTTTGTTGTGTACTGCCGGTCGATGAATAGATATGATCCGGGTGTCAGAGGGCATGACAGGGCGACCTATGAAGCCCAAATCTTCCCCGAGGAGCACCCTGACCAGCGTCTTGCAGTATCTCGGTGAGCCACACAACATTACAAATGCTTCCTTTGAGCTGTAACTAACAGATGACAGTGAATATTCTGTCATTTCAGAGACTCGTCCAACAATGCACGTTCAACGGCCTCATCGCACCCCTGGCCTACAGGTGCAGCCCCCACGGCGCCTACTTTCCTCTCTTCCCAGCCATGGCCCACATGGCATGTTGGGAAAACGGAGCTACCATCACAACAGCAGGGTTGAATCTGCTGAGAGGAGAGCCAGTGCTCCAGGACAAGGTGGGTTTACAGTAAAAATACATACAACTCTTAAAAATAAAGAGAACCATTTTGGGTTCTCTAAAGAACCTACTAGCTTATTTGAAACATTATCTATTGTACATAAACGTTCCAAAAGGTTTTTTTTTTTCAGTGATGTCATAGAACATCATTTTTTGCTTCCTCAAAAGACCTTTCAGTGAACAATTCTTAAAAGAACCATTGTTTTTCTTAGTGTGAAATACATGTTAATAATCTAAAGATTATTTACTTTTAATTCCATGCATGTTAAAGGTTCTTCATAGAACCATCAATGCCAATAAAGAACAAGGTTTTTTTTTTGCAGTGATGTCATAGAACATCATTTTTTGCTTCCTCAAAAGACCTTTCAGTGAACAATTCTTAAAAGAACCATTGTTTTTCTTAGTGTGAAATACATGTTAATAATCTAAAGAACCTTTTAATTCCATGCATGTTAAAGGTTCTTCATAGAACCATCAATGCCAATAAAGAACATTTACTTTTAAGAGTTCTCAATAGATCAGTGGTGTAAACATAAAAATAAAGGTTACCTTACTTATTTTTGCTTAATGTAAAGAATATTTTAAAGAACCTCTAAACATCTAAAGAAACTTTTTTTCCAGTAAAGAACCTTTTTTTTATGCTTTGAAAAGTTTCCATGGGATGTTAAAGGTTCTTCATGAAATCATAGATGCCCATAAAGAACCTTTATTTTTAGGAGTATAGATGTCAAAGATGGTTGTGTAATGGTATTATATGCTTATTTCATACTATGCACCTCTTTTTTTGTCATAGAAAATCCAGCCCATATTGTGGGACCCATTCTGGTAAGTAACAATGACTTGATTCACTCGTATCACTGGTTTAGACTAAAGCAGGAAGGTCTCATATATTATCAGTGTGGTTTCATCAGACTGGAAGACACTAACTTACTAGCATTTGTGTTGCTGTGAGAGCGAGATTCCATCTTATAACATATTTGAATGCAGATACTGTTGATGCTGTGAATCGGTTCAGGTGACAGCTTCAATCTCCAGCCTCGGAGGTTTCCCACTGATTATTGCGGCCGGGTGAAATGGAAATGAGAAGCGAGAGACAGCAAAACAAACACAAAAGCACTCACTGTTCATCCATGAGATGAATAATGTAAATATAGTGGATGGACCTTCACCTCATTTTTGGCCTGCCATTTCTAAAACTGAAGAAGATTAACAATTGCTTTATTGTTTCAGTTGTTTATCTCTATGGATGTTATTTGCATCTTGTGGGACCAAACAAATGTATAGATCCCAGGTTGAGTTTCAACCTAGGAGAACAATTGAAGAAAATTGCTTTGTTAATAAGACGTTTTTTGTGCATCTTGTGATTTAAAATTCATTACAAGTCTGTGTATTGGGGAGTAACTAAGTTAGTGAGAAACACCAACAAGGTTATAAATAATAACGAGCCATCGGTAAATTATTCTGTTTATTACATGACTACTTAAAATGCAAGCACATTAAATATTAATTAAACAATTTTACTATAATTTTCTTTAATTTTGTTAGATTATTTTATCTTTCACTAAGAAGAATAGCCTAATCAATTTCAAAGCAGAAAACTATGGAAGCCCGTTTCCGCCACTGAAGAAAAAATAAAAAAGGTAATTGCGACTTTTTATCTCACAATTCTGACTTTTTTTCTCAGAATTGCGTGATATAAATTGGCAATTGTGAGTTATAAAGTCATCATTTTGAGAGATAAACTCGCAATTCTGAGAAAAAAAAGTCAGAATTTCGAGAAAAAGTCAGAATTGCGCGCTATAAACTTGCAATTGCGAGACATAAAGTCACAATTCTTTGTGAAATGTACAAGTCGAGTGACTTTTTTTCTCAGAATTGCGAGTTCCTTTCTCGCAATTCTGACTTTATAACACGCAATTGCGAGTTATAGTCAGAATTGTGAGATATAAACTCGCTATTCTGAGAACATATCAGTCCCTCCCTCCCTCCCTCCCTCCCTCAAAATTGGACTTTAACTCACAATTGCGTGTTATAAAGTCAGAATTTCGAGATATAAACTTGCAATTCTGAGAAAAAAAAGTCAGAATTGCGAGAAAAAAAAGTCAGAATTGCGAAATATAAACTCGCAATTGCGAGAAAAAAAGTCAGAATTGCGAGTTTTTATCTCGCAATTGTGACTTTACATCTAGCAATTCTGACTTTATAACTCGCAATTGTGAATTTATATCACCCAATTCTGAGAAAAAAGTCAGAATTGTGAGTTTATATCTCGCAATTCTGACTTTATAGGCAAAATGTGTTTTTATGCTTAATGTAGATCAGACAGACAGAAGTCAGATAGTCATAATAGTTCACCCACAGCAGCAAGGGGTTTGGTTTTAACATCTTTGGCATTGAGAAGTAGATGTGAGCTTGAAGAAAAATGCCTCTCCATTACAGTCACATCCATATGAGCCATGACTTGCACAGCTCCCTATGGCCTCGAGCGCTGGAGCGGATGCTAGGCTAAATTTAGCGCCCCTGCTCTGAAAGATTAGCCTTTAACAAGGCAAGAGACCCAGAGACAAATGGGATCTGGTCTGGGACTCAGCCTGGTTCTCTAACAGGTTTACACCAGACTGTCATGACTCTCTCTTGCTGAAATTGCACTCTGTTGTTTGAGTTGATGTTAAAATAGATAGTAAATATATGCTTCATATCATTTTATAGTATTTGTAGTGTTAAAGGTTTGCTGTTGCTTTGCAAAAGAACTAATCAAATCCATCAGTGCAAAAGCATGCAACCTAATCATAGTTATATTACGGCTCAGTGCTGGTAATGAATGAATATGTGTATTTGTGTTAACGTAGTGTGATTTATAAAGTAAACACATATGCTATAAATGCAAGCACATTTTAGAATATCATCATGCATTTGTTGTTCGAGAGACCCAGTTAACGGTTCTTTCATTATGGCCAATCTAATCTAAGGGCTGTCCCCTGTGGATGCCTGTCGGCCTCATTCATTTTGCATGAACGTTAGACCCAGGCGATTCATTCATTTCTCTCTCTGCTATATGGACCCCATCATGAATAGAACATTGTTTATGTCACTAAGCCATGTTGATTTCGCTTAATAATTGCTACCTCTTATATCTGCAACGTGCCGAGGTAAACGCAATTGTACTATGTGATGCACAAAGGAAAACCGAATCTGTAGTTTTCAATTTAGTTTTCTTTCTTGATATTTTATAAACTAGTAAGCAAGCTCACATTGCAAAGCTTGCAAAATGTGATAAAGCATGTTAGTTCTTCTTGTGTATTTCCTGTCACAATATTTTAGAAATATCCTGTTGCACACAAATTATTGCACAACACAGGGGATTCCATGATACTTGCGTTCTAAATTATTGCAATGACTCGGTATAGTCAACGTTTTACTTTAATATTTTAAAATATATTTTCAATACCATATATTTAAAATATTTAATAATTAATACACTACCGTTCATAATTTTGCCTTGGTAAGATTAAGAGTTTTTAAAAGAAGTCTCTTAGGCTCACTAAGGCTGCATTTGATATAAAAATACAGTAATATTTTTAAATATTATTACAATTTTAAGACAAATGTTTTCTATTTTTTTCCCTATAAAATATAATTTATTCCTGTGATGGCAAAGCTACATTTTCAGCATCATTACACCAGTTTTCATTGTCACATGATCCTTCAGAAATGCTGTTTTGCTGCTCAAGAGACATTTCTTATTATTATCAATGTTGAACTGCTTAAATTTTTTTTTGTGGAAACCATTTTTAGTATGTTTTGATGATGAATATAAAGTTCAAAAGAACAGCATTTATTTGAAATAGATTTTTTGGAACATTTTAAATGTCTTCACTGTCACTTTTGATCAATTTAAGGCATACCTAAAAAAAAAGGACCTATTATGTATTGTCAAATGTAAGCTATGACATATGACGTGTTTTATCTTCCTGTTCCCTCAGGAAGGCCAGAAGGCTGCTCTCCCGTTCACAGTTAAGAAGAGCGTGCAGACAACCATGTGAGCAGATCAGCCTGCGCAGGGTCCCCCAGGGGCCAGCGCAGGTACCTGTCCTGGCGCCCCCTCACCCCAGTTTACGGATGCGAGGCCCAATCGTCATCCACGACTGACCCCCTCGCCTGCATTGTTCCCTCAGCCTGTTCTGTCACTTTCTCATTTGCTGCCTAACTCTGCACTGCACAGGCCACAAGCCACTAAAACACTTCTTATTCCTCTTTAGTCTACTTCTTCTAAAACTTTCGCTTCCTATTCAGGACAAAAAGGCTCACAGTAATAAAGCATTTAGCTAATAACCCCCAATAAAATGATACTTGTATATTCAGAACCTTCTTGGACGGCAGCCTGAAGCTCTTGTTTCAATATCTTTCTAAGTACTGAATGCTCATTAAGTTTCAATACAAACACTTTTACCTTGCAGCAACTTGTAACATTAGCTCTAAGCACTTGTTTGATGAGAATCTATGGCTGTGGAAACTAAACTTACAGGGTTCCACGAGTAGCCATGCCTCAAATGTGTATCATGTACAGTCAGATCAATGCTGACCACTCAACAGACTCTTTCGAGAAGTGTTAGTGTACTCTTTGTAAATTCAGTTAGCTCTGCATTGAATGGTTTCCTTTATTTCTCTGTATCTTCTGTGCGTATCATGACAAGTACAAGTTTGTGAGCTGTTTTTATATTGTATTCAAGCGAGGACTGGATTTTATGTTGAGTTGCTGGCTATTAGGTGGTCTTAACTGAGAGCATGTTCAATAGATTCTTTTAACTGGAGATGTTGTAATGATTCGTGGAAGTCAAAGCAGTCTTTGCAACTCTTAAATATTCATTCAGGAATTATGGTTCTGTTCCCCTGGACATTAAAGACTATTTCAGATGCCCTTTAGATGTTTTTAAGGAAGAAACTCATTGGCTTTTTAACTTCAAAGGGCAATGTGACAGCATGTGAGTGTGAAACAATAAGCTATTTTGTTTTCTATGCCTCATACATTTCTGTTGTATTTCATTGTGTCAAACATTTACTGAAAAAAATGCTAAATAAAAAAGCGCAGTACAGATTGTATGTCTGTGTGATAATACGAAAAGCAATTGATGATGCATGTCACAGGCAGAAAACATGACAACAAACTATAGAAAGGTGTACAGTATAGCATATTATAGAATGTATTGTGCAAAATAATAATTCATTTTCACACCCTCATGTTGTTCCAAACCTGTATGACTGTTGCAGAACACAAAAGAAGATATTAAGAAAACATTCCTCAAAGTATTATCTTAAGTGTTAGAAAGAACGTCATACAGGTATGGAACAACATGTGAAGGTGAGTAATAAATGAATTTAAATTTTTATGCGAACTATACCTTTAAGACACATTTTAATTCCCCCCAATGCACAGTTTCTCAGGTAGATTAACGTTTTCTGTTTGTTTTCGCACTCATCTTGAACTTCGTCAGCCCTAATGAGTTGGTTTTGCCCTTTAGGGTGTCACGAAACCAAGCGCTAACGTGGCAGTAGATGACTGGATCCAGTGCACTGTTCATGTAGGTTAAAGCTAAAGAAGCATGAAAACACACCATGAGGAATTCTGAACAGGAAAACACTTGAAGGAAGATGCCAAAAGTGACTGTAGGCAGGAAACACAGAACAAATATGATCACAAGAAACAGAAGCAATCTCACTGCCCGCTTCACCCTGCGGTGTGCCCCCTTAGACTGGCGACCGTGGACGTGAAAGGAAACCCGTACAAAGCAGAAGACCACCAGTGCAAATGCTAACAGGACCTCTATCAGCTGGACTGAATTATATATCCTCATCTGAACCGACGGCCATGTCCATGAGAGAAAAGTGTGGCATGTGAGCTTTGAAGAGTTTTTCTGTGATGCGAGAACCAGGTTCAGGGCGGTTGGGAGGCGAAGGAGTAGAACAACCATCCAAACCATGCTAGCCAACATTATAGCTTGTCTCACACTCATTCGACAAATGCGATGGTGTGGGTGAAGGATCCTGAAGAAGCGGTCCACGGCTAAAATTGACATGAAAGCCATGCTTGCGGAGTAGTTTACTGATATGATATATAAAATGAGGCGGCAAAAGGATTCGCCAAATATCCAGTCTTCACCACGGAAGAGATAATCTATGTGGAAAGGCAGCCCAGTGAGGAGTAGGAGGTCAGATATCACCAGGCAGAAGAGATACACATTGCAGGCTTTCCATGTTGACTTGAAGAACAAAATCCACAGAGCAAACACATTTCCAGGCAACCCAAAGATGAACTCCAAAACGAGAACAGGCTTTAAAATAGAAGAAACAAGGGTCTGAGGTTCTGTGCATGAGGTGATGTTACTCATGATGAAAAGTAACCTAAAAGTAAATTAATATTGTGTTAACACAATGTAAATACAAAGATGTTCTCCAATTCTGCTCAGTTAATGGTGAATTGTGGTGGAATAAACCCCCTAAATTATTTTTAATTCATAATCTTAATACTTAGTCTATCTTTGGCGAAAGAATGAAGAAAATATAATCAACGTTGATTTAAAAGCCCTTTTAGACTTACCAAATGAGTTGTTGTCGTTATCGTGACGGTTAGAGATCGATTTTGTAAGTTGCAGTAAGTTGTTGGGAAACGATACCACTGTGGGCGGAGTAAAGGAAGATTAATGATCTTTACGTTTGATATCTGTTATTATTTTATTTAGATCGCAAATCAGTAACGTTAATCATATCACATCATCAACTGTAGGCTATGCGGTGGAGTAAAAAAAAAACATAAATCGAAAGAAGAGCCGAGATGAATTCTTGAAATGTGATGTCACTTCAGGGCAGTGATGTACTCTCATAGTAAAGTTAGCCTATTGGGAAATATTTGCACACCATACTGGGAGACAACTGGGATACGTGATAAGAATATGTTCTATTTTATTTGAAAGCGTACAAACTCACAATAAATGTCAAGCAGTATATGTGAAAACCTCAACGCTCTGGAACTTTATTTACTCTGAGGTGTGTGATTTGAAGGATTAAATGTATCCAGAAAGGATACATTCTAAATATACAGTTCAATAATGTAGTTTATTTTTGTTTTGTTATTTTTGTTTTTGTCTCTTTTTCGCTGGTTAACACAGCTTGTAACACTCCAAAGAGAAAGGAAAATTTGAAATTGCATCATATGACCCCTTTAAGTGAATAAATGTAGGCCTACATCTATGGCATAATTTTCTGAGTACAGAAATCTTACAGATTTATTTTATGACTGACAAATATACATAACATTAAGTTTATTGATCAAAATTTTATGCAATTCAAATACAAATAAATTTAGGCCTAAATCTATCTATCTATCTATCTATCTATCTATCTGTCTGTCTGTCTCTCTGTCTCTCTGTCTATCCAGCAAACAAACTACCCACATAAAGCAACATCAAATGAGAGAAACTATTTATAATTTTTTATTTATATTCGTAAACATACTTAATATTCAAAACACAATGTAGCTATTTATTTTTTAAATGACTGACTTTGTGCATGAGTTTAAAATGTTCATCACTTGTAAAAGCCCTGAACTCAATAGAGAAAGAGTAAAACAGAAAATCTCCCTCCTCTGCCTTTATATGCAGAATGAATGACCATCTTTAAGTTCTCAAGTTTTATTTTATTGCCTTGTCACGGCTCATGGATTACCATTAAAATGCAATCAGCATGAGTGCTTGTGTATGAGTGTGAACCTGTGCTTGTAAAGTGTGTGTGAGTGTGTGTTTGAGTGAACACATTGAGTAATCAGTGGTTAAAGAAAGGAGAACTTTGTGGGAACCAAATAATAATAAAAAGGTTTAGGCACATTTAGAGAAGAAGTAGAGAAAGAGAGAAAGAAAGTAGATAGAAGAAGCAAGATAATAGAGAGAAGAACACACGCACACACAATGAAGGAGGCTGAGTGGATTGTCTGGATCAGATTTCTGTGGTAATGGTTGGGTGGGTCAGTGGTTAAACTGCTCTCACAAACACATTCCAGAGCTGAGGCAGAGCACATCTGGTGTGCAAGTGCAGACAAGCAGAGCCAAGAGCTCCCTCAGAGTACCTCTCTCCCTCTTGGGCTCCCTTTCCACATCTTTCTTTTTTCTTGAATTCTTTAACACCATGGTTAACCCTCATGCTCTGTTTGAGGTCTCAAAGACCCCAGGACCATTTTAATAGCTAAAAAAACCTACTTAACATAAAGTATCAGGTTGATGTTCCCTAATATTATTGGAATAGATTGAAACAGAATTAACAGCTTGCTTTAAATGGCCTCCATTAAAAATGCTGCATTTCAGCACAAGCACAATCAACATGTTGCAGTAAAACAAAAAATAAAATAATACAAACATTTAAAAAAAATAAAAAAAATAAAAACTAAATATTGCGTATTTTTAAACAATATTATAAATTTTTAATTAAAAAGTTGTTTGTTAAAGCACGATGTTAAAGCAAATGTATGTAGTTTTGTGTATTTTTACGACAATGGAGCCCCCTACAGTTAAGTGAGTATAATCGTCATAAATATATCACTGTTGTAATTGCCATAAATTGCTGTACACGTGCATTTGTTGCTACCATAAAGCAATCCGCTCTTTTTTGCAAAATTGTGCACCCGCTCACCGAACTTATGGAAGTGAAAACCGCATTCTATAACCGAACTTACAGTCACCCGTAAATTTTCAGAACTCACAACAGCATTCGCAGAAAACCTGTGCTATGTGAACAGAACCGTGTTGGATACCGTGTGTTGCAAGTTTTCAAGTGTAGTATCGGCAACTTACAGAGACGGCTTTGAGCTGTGTGTCATCCCGAAGGTTTTAGATTCAGTCACTATTCTCCACCGGAGCTGCTCCCGTCAGTTTTGTGATCAACGCGCAACCCAAATGTCTGCTTTTCACCCCAAAATAAAATCTGCTGTCAGTTAATGTGTAATGAAGATTTGACAGATGAACTAACGGTTCGGTTTGACTTTTCAGTTTTATGGACA